TGCACCCAGCCTGAAGTTTCATCATTAAGCTATAACGCCCACAAACTGTGTAATTGTTTGTAAACTCAGTTATTTCTTCCCTCTGGGCAAAGTTACTTGATTTTAAAGTTGAAAAATATCCCCAACACGTACCCTTCGGTGATTTTGTTTTTTTTCGCATCTTTGAGACATGATGGATCTCTGGAACACCTGTAGATAATCCCGGGATATTTCCGCGGTATTTCATGCAGTAATTCCGAAAACGATGAAAACCTGGCGAAAACATTATAGACCCAGTTGACATCCCAAAATCCGAAAGCTACCTGGGAGACATCCTGAACTTGATTCCATCAGAGCTTGAGTCTGGCGTTCCATCTACAAATACCAAGACCGGAAGACATTCTCAGAAGGGGAACGAATGCGGAATTTTTCCGTATTTTTTACCTCGGGAAAGAAGGGTCATATGATCCGTTCGTCAATTAATTATAAATATTCGCTCATTGAACTGATGCTGAGTTGAGGGGTACAGTACTCCTTTCTCCCTGGTCATCAGATGGGTGGCGCTCAACTGTCCCAAGGCGCAATCTAGTGGCGCTCAGTTGGCCTCGGCGTTTGCTTGACACTTCGCCGTCCTGATTTGCTGGTCTCTTTGCTGACGACTGCTTGCTTCGTTCCCCATCCTGAGATAACCCTGCTGAGAAATGAAGAGATGAGAAATGGTGTAGGCAGCGTCCGAGTGTGGAAAAAAGGGAGGATATTGAGTAGGAAATTGGATAAATGCTTATCTATTGCCCCAGAAAAGAGGAAACGAGTTCCGGTGGAGCCCAGAGAGAAGCTGCTTGCACATGGACGCTGGTACTGCTGTGTTGAGAAGCGACATTAGCACCAGATTATCACTGGCTCAAGTTGGGCGTCTCGGGTGTTCGCGGATCGAGCAGTTTTCGTCAGGATTTCCTTCGGAGAACAAGTTTCATCATGAGGTCAAGTTTCGGGTGTCTTCGGCTGATCGTCAGCGCCGTGGTCCTCGGACTCGCTTCCGCCGAAAGCCCAGCAGTTCCGGACGACGACCCCGTGCTGCCGGAAATCGATTCCAGGACCTTCGTTCCAGTGCCGAACGGTGGGGAAAAGCGAATCGTGAACTCCGATCCGTCTCAATAAAGTGTCAAACCCTAAAATGATACACCCAGGTCCTTGCTCGAAAAGCTGTGTCGGTCACCAACCACACCCCGTCTGCGCATTCGATCCGCAGGAAAACATTCTCCGGACTTTCCAGAACATCTGCGACCTCCAAGTGGGTGAATGCTATGCTGCGCGTATCTTCACAGTCATCTCCTACGATGAGTCCTGCGAGTACGGTGAGACTGCATCATCCATCTCCATCGTGTCTCTCGGGTACCGGATAATAATAATAACGGGAAAATGAAGAAATTCGTCTGCTCCCGCTCTTTGTCCCTAGTGTCACTGCTTACAATTTCCAGCAACGTACGTGTATGCTAAAAACTGTGTTGCTTTCTGAAAGATTAGCTTGTCCCAAGCGATGCCCGACGGATTACAACGAGGTCTGCGGTTCTGATAATGTGACGTACAAGAACCCTTGCAAAATGAAGCAAACGGCTTGCAAATTACGCACTCGCCTGGTATTCCAAAACTGGGGTCGCTGCAAACGCGGTGAGTATAATCATGCAGATTTGCATGCGAATCGCCCGAGGGTAATTCTTTCAAAAATGTATACAGTACTGTACTTTCAGGACTACTATCGGGTTATAAATACATTTTGGTGACTATGAGAGCTTATTGGATTTAGGCTTGAACACTCACAGTTTCCCAAAACACATTTAAATCTATCTTCAAACAACAATTTCCCAAAGAACGCACAGATAAATACATCTTAATTAAAGCTCAAACCGAATTCCGATTTAATCGATTTTGAATGCTGTACTCGTTTCACATTTCATCAGTTATCATAGCAGCAGTCATTAAACGAAAAATATTGAAAAAATGCGCAGAAAATGCCAGGCATCAGAAATAATTTGAATGAATAATTAGCATACAACTTTTCAACAACTCTGAATTCATATTTTCACTTTGATCCTTTTCTATTATACTGTGCTGCATTTGCTTCAAAATCGTTCGCCGGCTAGCTGTCTATTAAGTTTCCAACGACGTGAACCATTTTGTGAAGTTCAAACAGAATCAGTCATATAGAAATGCGCAAATACCCGCGTATAAGCGGATTCCTTTAATATCTGACGCTGATCGAATAAATGCCGAACACGAGGTTATTTAAAATGTAAACTTTCTAATGGATTTGCCCCGGAAATTTCAGCCGGTGATCTGCACTTCCCACGCATGACCTCCGAAACTGCTTCGAGGAAAATATTGAATTAAATAAAATGTCAAGCATTGAGGCCCGAAAATAGGGGTGAAGTGCGTACATCAAACGAAATCGAGGTCATCAAGATGAAGCTTTCAATTTTTTAGCCGAAAATGATCGAAGGAGACCTACGCGTACTATTGAAATAATAAAAAAAGGTATCCTAGAACGTGTTGGTGCTCGAGATATAAGTTCCTTCAAGTTTGAAAAAAGGGCTAAGAGTTCGATGAGTACGTCATTCTGTGTTTTCTGGATTTACCTATATGTGGGGAGTGGGCACGCATGTGGGCAAAGATTTACAGGATATGCGACAATAGTGGAATGAGACCCAATGCTTCAGACACAGCGTTGCTTTCCTTTGACAGATAAGCTGGTGTTCCCGCATGTTTACGTCCGCTGAGGGCTCTTCAACTACCAGCAACAGCCACTTCCTAAAGGATGCACCTGACGGGGGATCGATGGAGCGACCTCTTCATGTGCTATCCATCATTCCTCTCTTTTATAGATCGACTAGTTGTCACTCTCATCCGTGAAATGTTCTTAAGATTTAATGTGTCGTTCCTTGTTTTCTTTTCATTTTGTGCTGATCTGCGATGTCTGTGAAGAAGAGCATTTTCTGTGCTTGTACTTTTCTGAAATAAAGCACGCCCAACCAACTAAAGTAAAGCATTGTATAAGGGAGAATCGAATTACTCTTGCTTTTCGATAAAATTTCGACGATGTACTACCCATTAATTTGTGTCCTGAACAGTGCCGTATTACTCGACAAAAGACGCAATCGATTATCTGAGATCCACTTTCCAAATATGTGTTTTTTCATAAAGAATTATGCGCGTTAATCACTGCGGATGTAAAACGCATTTCAATCGTATGAAATATTTATCTAGCATCAAAGGAGTCTCTTGATTTTTACGAGCAAGTATATTCACGCTTTAGTTCCAGGGGTAACTGCCTCTTAACGCCAAGAATTCTGATAATTGCTCCAGTGAACTGGAAATACTGTACAGTATTTGCAAATATGTATTCGATTTACATCGTTATATAGAAACACTCATAAACTGAATCTGCAAATCTGTGACGCCCCCGAATACAGCGCAGTACTGTGTGAGATGCCCCCGTTAAACGAAAAAAGCCACAACAATTTTTTCAAAAGCCAAAGTTATAATGTTCGGGCAAGAAAATAATTTCCATTGATTAGCCTACCAGATGCAGCCAAATTCATCAGCTCCAAAACTATCTGTCAATTTTTTTGGAGTCGCTTCAAATTTTTTCTTAGAGATGTTCAACTTTATTTGGTTTTACACAAATCGGCTCTCTGCTCAGCATTCGACTTTCGTCTTGTTTACTCATGGAGCACCATCTACGAACACTTGTTCAAAGTCCATCCGTGCCAGATGCCGTGTCCCATGAACGCAGTGGGTTCGCATCGAAATGCATTAGTACAGTATTTCACTTCATCAGAATAGGAAATTTGCCGTGGAAAAAAAGAATCGGTGATCCTTGCGCGTTTTACGAAGCAGCAGCTATTTGCCCACAGCACAAGCATAGACCCGAAATTCCGCTTGAAAGAAAATGTACCCTACACCATTGTTTGTCCTGAATCTTCATGATCCATGCTATAATTCCACTGAACAACCGGAGTACAGTACAGTCAACTTTCTTTGATCCGGACCAGTAAAATATACAGTACGGAAACAAAACAAAAAAACGTTATTCCAGGAAGTTTTTCTTATTTCCCTGAGGGATTCGTCTACTAAAATCTAACCCAAATTACAACGTCATGTTCTGGTCTAATACTTCCGAGGCGTTCATTAGCAAGTGTGTCTTGGTTCTACGACTTTCGAAAATGGAATTGGACGTATTTACTGAGCTGCAAATTGACGATAGGATTGTTCTTTGTCTCGCTTCAATTTAAATATGCAGTATGGCCAAGGAAGAGATGAGATGGAACAAAAGGGCCTCGCGGCGATACTTGCAGCGTTCGGGTTTCTCGGAAACGTCGCGCCGGTAATGCGTACAACGCATACGAAGCGTTGGCGAAGTCTTATATACGCATTAGCGGTAAAAGAAAATCGTTGCTGACCTCAATTACCGACCCGGGATTCGCATATTGCTCTCAGAACAAGGCCTCGGCTGTTTTACAACCGGTGGGTACGTTTCAGCAAATTAAGGCCGGATGGAGGCAATAGGAAGCACGAGCGAGCTATTCGGTAATTGTACCACGCATCTGCTTCAAAGGAAATCGAGAATTCCGTTTCCTTTTCGACAGGAAATGCTTTCGTTCATGAACTATGGTACCCCGTTTTCTCGGGCGTGTAATTTCCATCACTGCCTGAGTATAACAGCTGTGGGAAGAGCACCGTTAGCAAAGAAAAACAGCCTTTAGTTTCGCCTCCGAACAGAGCAATCATTAATGTGCTCCTCTCGCTTGCTCGTGGTCAAACCAGCCCAGCAGTCGAACTACTGCTCTTTCTGAAGTTTTGTACAGTGATGTTTTCCAGTAATGTAACCGTCTCCTGTCGAGATTCGAGCTTCAAAAGGACCCCTTCCTTCTTGAAACTGCCGCATATTTGATGAATATGAAGAAAAACCTAGAAATTATAGATCGAAGCTTTTCACTAGTCCTGACGGCGAATTCACCGCGGGTATCCTGTTGCAATTATTTCCATCGCATATACGAGTGAAGGGCTTCGCAATTTATTTTGTGAAACTATCCATGATGATTGATGAGACTCAGGCAAAACGAAACTGAGTATCGTATGACACTAAATTGAGAATATTACGAAACTTCAATTACTTTGTAATAAATTAAAAATTGTCTGAGAACTGGCTAAACTCCTTGTGCTTTTATTTGTGACCAGTAATTGCCTTTTGCTGTGATTTTTGTCATAAAAATCATTACAACTCATTACTGTATATCCATGCAATAGTATGTACTGCAATGTATTTTCTTTTAATGTCCATGTAGTGAATTATTTTTCCTTTTGATAAACTGGGTTGTGTTGAATGAATACGAGTATGTGGGTGAGGGGGGGGGGGGGTGTGAAAACATTTTTTTGAACCTTGTCAATGTTTACAAGCAGAAAATAAAGCTTGTGCTGTATATCAAAAAATCAAAGCTAAACTTTTTTATAATACAGTAGATGGGAGTAGCTCAGTAGAATTCTGTTACAACAAATCTTGTCATGAAATTTTACAACAAACCTTGTCATAAAATTGCCCCCAACAGTTTTTCATAGGCTTAATGTTGTAAAAATCTCAGTGCAATGAACTAATTTTAGGCTGTAATCTCATTATGATGCATTTTTGTCACGATTCCCTGCATACAGACCATACAGTTTTTTTATATGTATGGCTGGAAAAAAGGTGCAGCATTCCAAATTCATCAAAAAGCAAAAATGTCTGCACAGAAAACTAGGTATTCAAAAAAAAAATACTCAACATGATGCATCTCTTGGAAATTCAGTAGCTCCATTCTAAAATGTTCGGTACTTTTTTTTATGATTTTCTTCCCAATATACATTATTTTTGAAAGAATTTTCTTCCATCTGCAGGGACATGCATGATTGAAATATTGTATTCAGAAGGAAGAGTTTCTCTTTCATATATTTATATTTCATTGCATATTTTTATACAAATGTCACTTTTTAGTTGGATGGCAGGTTCAATAAAGAAAGGACTGCTAGTGGTACCTTGCAAATTTGCAATTCAACCCTAATCTTTTGCCAAAGTAGGGTCAAATTGCATAGCATACAAATTGCAAGACACTTTGTTAAATTGAAAAATATCAGTACAAAAATGCAAAACAATTGGGCAAAGCAGGTCAAATTGCAGGGCAAGGGTCAAATTGCAGGGCAAGGGTCAAATTGCAAGTGAACTTCCCTGCAAATTTGACTTGAATTTTGGGAGGTCAAATTGTGAAGTACCACCTGTATCTATTTCAAGTGTTATCTTCATTTAATTGGGTATACTTATTAAATATGATATAATTATGTAATCATTTGTTTTGTAAGTGCATGAAAGTAATTATTGCCCATTTCCTACAAAATTTCAGCCAAAAATGTGTTAGAAACCATGAATCTCTGTCCCTAAGAGTTTGTTGCAATAAGATTTTACTGTATCTCACTTGACTAGTCCATATTAAAAAGTCGCTGCAGCTTCCCCAAAAAATAGGACAAGATTAATTTAGTAAATGTACAGCAGTAACCGTCAGTGCGGCGCCGACTGAAATGCGCCCAACAGAGGTCGGTCCTGGTCGCGCGCCGCTTGGATGGCCAATAGCCGACAGGCACGCCAGGATGCACGGCGCGCGCGCAGCCGGCTTCCGATGACCGTTTGAGCCAGTCACTCATGAACAGTCGAACGGTCAACTACTGTACTCAAAAACGTTGATGCTGAAATCGCTTTTATACATGCGCCGATGCATTCGAATTCGTGTATCTAACACAATCTCGGCATCCCAACATCTAGTGAGAGAATCAAGCTGAACGTAGCCCGGTATTCTTTCCAGATGAGCCGCCTCTGAACTACGAGTGATTTCAACGCTGTACATCAGTGATTTGTCAGAGCACTATCGGTGTAACTCTCTTGAAACAAATTCAGTTGAATCCGTGAATACTCGCTGGCGTGTGAGAGCGTTTCGCGTAAGTTATGTACCTTATAGTGGAGCTGCATTTTTCAGAAGTGACGTGTATACGGTAGGTTCCGTTCCGCGGATTCTCACCCTGACGCTTAATTTTTCCTTCACGATGCAAGCAGCTAAAAATTCGAACATCTGCGAAAAGTTTACCTAAAGCACGTTTGGAATTGGAAACTTGATTTATCTCAAATTTTAAATACGAGTTCTGAAGGCTTTTTGTTGACGGAATGTATCGAATCATTCGAATCGCAAGGCGTGAATTAAAATATCGACGATGAACAGAATACTGTATTTATAAAATATTGACGATTTTCGCCTGCGTTACGCTGGGTTTCGGGTATTCAATTCTCCTGAACTCAGAGTTTACTGCAACAAGGGTTTTTGTACCACGTGACCTTTACAAAAGTGCAATGATTAGACACACGTTTAGAGACCTCCTTTTGTTGCTGTATATTTTTTAAACTTGTAACAGAACATCAGAAGCAATTAGCAATAATGTTCATGGCAATTGAATGTCACTGTTCAACTCAGGCAATTCCCGTCGAGGTTCTCCAGGAAATCATTTTTATCCAAGGTCACGTTCTGTGTTGACCATTATAATTTAAAAGTGATTACAATTTCAAGCAGGACTAAATGATTTAAAAAGGTATTTTGTTTTGATATAGCCACATTTCTGCTGAGAAAAAAGATGGAGATTATCCCCAGGATCCCGTGTGTATGATGTCTCATACTTCTTATCGGCAATGAAGAGGTTTTTCTTTAGATTCAAGAGCCTTCCTGCCCCACCCTCACAAAAAAAAAAATCGCCCCATTACAGCCATAAGACGTCTTCAGACGCTGCTCAGTATTCAATTTTTACCCAAAATAAGACTTCCTTCCTAGACCCAGCCCATCCTTTAATATAGATGACTTTCCATGGGTTTCTAAAGTCTTCTTCCTCTCAAGTCAAAAAGTCTTCTTTTTGTTGGTGTTGCTGATCTTCAGGGTCTGAACTTTACCGATTAAAACAGTGCTGTTCTTTTCGCCTTCAAAACTTTC